GATAAGAAGGAATTCTTCACCTCATGCTAACGACTTTGATTGGAGGCTTCAACTTGAGCCACTTTACATATTTGAACTTGGAAAGGCTTCGACCACTTGGCAAAAATGGTCGCCGCTGGCATTCCCTAAGTGTGGTAGAAGAAGTGGCAGAAACATACTCGTTAGTCTTTAAAGAAGAAGGCTTAAGTGAAGCACATACCTTGCTTAGAGTTTTGCAATAATAGTTTGCATTCTTTACTGGCAAAACTTCGATTAGGAGCTCCTGAATTTCTGTTAATAGATGATAGCTGCCTATCAGAGGAACTTTGATCAGTAAATGGCCAAAATATGTGCCACTGCTCAGATTGATGCCCTTTGGGAGTGAACGAGGGTTGTTATCTGTCTCCACAAAAATTGACTAATTTAAAGACTTACACCCAGCAACTCCAGCCTGGACTTCTAAGCATCGATGGCTATAGAAATGATTTCGGCCAACACGTTGAACCTAATCTTGATGCCCTTTCAGTGTGTCGGTGGGTTTCTTTTCTGGCCCTACACTTGTCTGGTCTTTAATTGTTGCACCAAGTAGAGATTTTGTCACGTTTTGCTACTGGTAGAATTGCTTCAAAATTTTTGTTGAAGTCACTTTTGGTTTAAGCAGAACTTCATCATCCTCTTCTACTTGTTTTTGCCATTCAACAAGGATTCTTTCAAGCCTTTCTTGCTGCTTACAAGCTTCAACAATCTTTTTTTGCCTTTTTGCAAGCACTAAGTCAAATTCTGCCATCATGATAAGATATCTAATATTTTGTTCAACAAACCTCTTGTGGAAACCTTAGGTTGGGTCCCATAGGTGTGTCAAAAAGACATTGTTTCCTCCAAAATTCTCTCCTCTCAGCCATTCATAGTAGAAGTTGTTAAAATGTGCCACTTGCTTTGGTCAAAGCAAGAAAGAATGATTTTTGGCAACCCTCACTTCTACCAAGTATGGGAACTTGTTTAAAAGTTAATGAAGAACACCTTTTGATTGAAAGATTGCACCAATAATACCTTGACTAGACAATTGTGGTAGAAATTTGGGTGCATTTCTATATAAAAGTTTATAAATAATTGTCATGGAAGAACATTAAGGACTTTTCACATCTAAGGCCATAATAAAGTTAGTTTGTTTTGCAAAATAAGCAGAAATAAGAAAAAGAGATAATGACTATGAGTCCATGGCAAAAGTAAGGGATGATCTCAAACTAAAGTAATGGAAGGACACAAAACTAAAGATCATGACAGAAATCTTAAAACATTGGTAAAATTAAAATTTATGAGTATTGGCAGAAATGTAAATCGAAATTGTCAAAAATGTAAAGAACTAGTTATTGACAAAAATAAAACGAAACTAAAATCTTTACTTGAAATCAAGAAAAATTCCAACCAAAGGTTGAAATAGAGATTTGCTAATAAAGCAAAAACTAAAACCAGATAATTAGATAGAAACATAAATTATTGACAGAAATGCAAAGTGTGCTAGCAAAAGAAGACCAACTATATTAAATTTAAATGCTTGAGCTAATTTAACCAAAAACAACAAAAACAAAGAACCTATTGAGGAGTTGAACATTTTCTACGCTAACAAGAAAGTTGCAAAGTTGTTGTATGAGCTATTTATAAACTAAATTAACACTGAGCTAAAACATGTTGAAATGTAAATGTGGTTGAGAAGGGTAGGCCTCTTGAAAAATATGTTGAAGTGTTATATTTATGAGCCTTCATAACTGAAACTGATTGCCAAAAATCAGATCTAATCCTAATTTTATCTAACTCCCCTATTATTGTGCTTACTCAAATCAAAGAAATCTCAACAACTTTGTATCCTTCCTTGCAAAACGGATTTCTACCATGTGTCATTTAATTGTTATAAATAGAATTCTGATTGTTAAAAATCTCTAGAATCAAACTTCTTGTAATCTTTGCTAATTTATATTTATATTTATATAGCTTATACTTATATTTATTTAGCTTTTTATTATTTTAAAAATATATAAATGTTAATTGTCATAAATAAAATTCTAATTGTTAAAAATCTCTAGAATCAAACTTCTTGTCATCATTGCTGATTTATATTTATATTTATTTACCTTATACTTATATCTATATAGCTTTTTATTATTTTAAAAATATATAAAATGTTAATTGAAAGAGAAGAATAAATAAAAAATTTAGTCTTTAATTTTTATTATAAATTAATATTATATATTGTCTCAATCTTTTATCTATTTAGAATAAAATTAGTCCCGAATCTTTTCAAAATTATTAAATTTAATTTTACCATTGGTCAATTCTATTAAATTCATAAGAAAAAATTCCTAATTAAAATTTTACAAAGCAACCAAAACCCTTAAATAGAAAAAAAAAAAAACCCTAAACCATTTTTTTCCAACACTAAATATATATTTCATTTTTGTAAACATTGTTGAATATTCTTTTTTTTTTCTTTGGGAAACTCCAAAGATTATGTTTCATTTTTTTTTTATTGCCTTTTGCTTAATGTAAAGTCCAATTTCAATTTTAGAAACTTTTGATATAATTTAATAATTTAACAATATAATGAATTTTATAACTTAAATATTTTTAATTATAAATTATCTATCATCCAAATTATTGTTTTATAAAATACATCAAAAAATACAGCCTCTAGGCCTTGCAGGGTATCTCTTTTTTTTCTTTTTCTTCCCCCCCTTTTTGGTTCGGTATTCCAAATTAGTTTTAGAGGTTCAACATAAAGTGAAATTGTATATATGTTCAAGAATGAAGATACTAAAATGTAGGAAGAATACTGGTTTCTACTGGAAGGTTGATATTTATTGAGTAACAGTTCGCATTCAAAGTTACCAATAGCAATTCTTCTTCATTAAGGGAGAGATGTTAGAAGCTGTTTATGAATAACTGTGAAAATAGTAAATAATTTCGAATAACAAAAGCAGTTTGTAGCAAAATTGGGTATTTTCTACAATATTCAAGGATCTGGCATCACCCATATGGGAGGTGGCCAAACAAGTTGGCTATCAAGATGGAGCTCCTCGAATTCTTTGATTCTTTCCTCTTCTAAGTCGAAGATACCGTTGTCAAACCCACCATAATCATCCTCCCACAATTGCTGATAAAAAAAAAAAAATCATCCTCCCACAACTCCACTTTACTGTCTGTATAGTAGATGCAATTGCCTCTTTATTCTTTTTTTTTCAAATCAAACATATTTTTTATCTTATCTTACACTGAATTTTTATTTAAACTAACTTCACTCTTTTGAAATATTTACAAATTAATTATTTTTTTAGTAATAAATTGTCTTAAGATTAATTTACATGCACCTCAAAATTAATTTCTCTCTTATCCAATTAAAGGCAAATCTTCTATGTTAAAACTAAAGAATATATTAGAAATTATTTACTTATTAGTGCCCCTAAAGAATTGAACCTGATCAATAAGATGAGAAAGAGAACTATTTTACTAATTAAGTTACGACTTGTACATAACAGCAAATTAATAACTACAGTATATATTAAATAATTAAGGTGCACATCAAAATGTCTCTAGGCATTTGCATCAATATAATCCATCCAAGGTCTAATTAGCAGCAGCGTCATTGCCATCGCTATCATTTTCATTGGGAGCCTTATTTAAATCCAAGCCGGTATTATGGCCACCATTGGTTCCCGGAAAAGATTCGACGTCGGAACTGTCTGTTCTGATAGGATCATTTAGATCAACACCTAAACCCCTCCGTCGGGAAACAACAGCAGCAGCATCAGGGGTTGGTTCTTGATCTTGTTCCATTTTCTCCAAAGCTTCACAAGCCAGGTTCAACAACGTAGGAGCCAGTTGTTCCTGGAGTTCTTTATTCGGATTCGGAGAGCTATCCGGACTGAATTTCGGGGGCGGAAATGCTCCGGAATGAGCCCTCGGGTGTGATCTCAGATGTCCAAACACCGCCTTCCACGACGCAAACTGTTTCCCACATACGTAACAGGCAGGGTCGACGCTTCTTGGCGCATCCAGTTCCCCCCTTCTCCTCGGTCTCGTGCTACTACTTGAGGCCACGGAATCATCTTCTCTTTCTCTCTTTCTACCTTCACCACCACCATCACCCTCCGTTACTTCCTCATTGCCTGCGGTCTCTCTCTGAGGGCTAATAATCTCGCCTTCTTCTGGCTGTTGTTCTGGGGAGATATCATCAGACGAGTCTCTGGGAGTGGACATGGTGGGAAATGGGTGGAAGTGAAATATTACGAAAGCCAAAAAGAAAGAAATTTTGGGCTAGAAGTTGAAGCGGAATGGGTGTATTTATAGAGGGGAGGGAGAACTTTGAACCCAGATAGGTATTTTCAGTTAATCGAGCAAATGTCAACGCTATGACTCTTCATCGCACCGTACACGTGGACAGATGCGAATTTTCTTAGTAAGAACGAACGGGCATGATGGGTGGTGTTCGGTGTAACTGTGAAACGACGCGGCTGCTTGGGTTCATGTAAATGACGAATTGGCCCTTTTTACCCTATATTTGGAATTTGAGCACAAAATTTTTGAGATGAGAGGAAATTTAATTAAGGCCAGAAAAAATAAAAAGAGGAAGTTTAATTAATAATTATGAAGTTTCATATATGCTAAATAAGGTGCAGAGGGTTATTAATGGGGAAACTGCTAAGAATGGGAATTTAGGAAGCTTGATTAAGATTAAGAGCCAGATAAGGTATGCATTAGCCTTGTTAAAAAATGTGATTAGATTTTTTTAATTGAGTTTGTTTAAATTGTATCTTCGGGTATCTTCGGGGAGTACCATAGATATATCATTTTGTAATTAAATTTCCTTAAAAAAGGCACAAAATATGGCACAAGTTAAAAAAACTATTTTTAATGTGAAAATGTTATAGTTACGATATTACGTAACATTATAAACTTACAATACAATATATTATTATATAGTTAATTTTTTTATTTAAATATATTATATACATCTATATTTTAATATTTCATTATACTCATTTAATGTCATATTATAATTATAAATTCACAATTTTATATGACATTTTAACTATAGTGTT